GAAACAAATCAAAAGAGAAGTTGTAATGTATGCATGCATTACTCTATCACCTGTAATACTTAACAAAAGGAATACACAGAAGAAATCTCAAGGAATTCAAATAAAAGATTATATGAACACAAAAGCATCTTTTACAAACTAACAGATGATTGTGTATTACTTGCTCACTGTAATGAGTCTGACCAGAATTTTTATAAAAAAAAAAGAAAAAAAGCTTCTTTAATTAAAGAAATATTCCATCTCTCTCAACATATCTTCTATTATTACTATTTGGGATACTTAATGAAAGAAATGATAAAAACAAAAACAAAAAAAAACTAAATTAAATTTAGGAACATTCGTCAAAGAAAATTTGTTTAAGGATGTTCCTTAGACCAATATTTTTTTTAAAAAAAAGTAGCATTTGTCTAAGAAACATTTGTCTAACGAATATTAATCTAAGAGAAACTTGTCTAAGGACATTCGTCTAAGGATCATTGGTCTATAATAATATTTTTTTAAAAATTAACACTTTATTCATGTACAAAATATTCAATTTTATTGATATTCACTATATCACAGAATAATATTCAAGACACTTATAGCAACATTAATTACTGAAGATACATATGTGGTTCATAAGCATTTATTTTGCCACATTTCTGTTAAATTACACAATAAATATCCATAAGCATTTATTGGCATGCATTGTTTGTATATTAATACAACCCACATTAGACTATAATTCTCAAAGCGAATATTTATTTAGACAAGTGTTTCTTAAACCAGTTTTCCTTAAACCGATGTTCCATAGAAGAATGTTCCTTAGACGAATTTTCTGGATCCCAATGAAACTGATTCGAGCATATACCCAAACACACACACACACACACATATACATACATATTTACATACATATATATACTTCGTGCGCATGCGCAGTCGTAGCAGCGTAAATATCAATTTAGTCCGATGAAATACGAAAGGACGAAACACTTCACACGTAAAAATTTTTCCACATTTATTTTCCTAACATTTTTCTGGTGTATTAAAATTGATATATCTTTTTCACACACACACACACACACACACACACACACACACACACATATATATATATATATATATATATATATATATATATTGTATTATATTAAATATGATATATTAAATTAAAAAAATGCGTGCAGTCATTAAATAGTTGAGTATCTAAAGTAAATTGATGTGCTATTAAAAGGAGAATGGAGTCAAAATATAGAAGCAAAACTTTCCTCAAAAACCTTTATATATACATGAACACATACGCACAGTCACACGAAGTAGAAAGTTTTACGTTCTTATATGACTAAAAGAAGAAGCAGAGATAATTTAGAGGCAGAATTGTCAACAGAAACTCCATTAATTATAAATAAGTGATCTTTAAGCATCAAATCCGACATAAGCCTTTAAATGATTTTTAATTTTATCTACAGAGCAAAGCATTCTCTCAAATTTCTGCGTTGTAGGGTTTTTATTCAATTTAGTTTAAATGAAAGGAGGAGGGTGTCAGAATAATCCTTTGTTAGTTTCTGTTCGTTTCACTGAGATTTTAAGAAAGATCAAACGACTGCAACAAAATGTGTACGTGCGTGTGCGTGTGTGGAGAGAGCTTCAACCAGAAATGATTACGTCCGTTTGAGGTGAGAAAGACTTATTTCTCATACATTTTGCCTGTCCTTTGTGCTGGATCTACCAAAAGGGTTCGGAGCCATATCCTATTGGAATGGGGTCATTTAATAGCATTACGAAATGTTTATCCATTACCCAAATGCGTGTCCATATCTCATTTAAAGTGTTCCGAAACAATTTAACTTGCATTCGTTGTCACCGCACAATATATATATATATAAGTACACACACACATACATACATATTTCGCTTCAGTAAGTAAATAAAATACGGCCTACTAGGTTATTACTGGGAAAAAAACTTTTTGAGGCAAGCAGTCATTGTACTTATAGAGTTCAATATAAAATTTGTACATTAGTAATATTAAATTAAAGTAAAAATTCACTTATTTTGTTTGTACTCTAATTATAGCGGAGATTACATCTGCTCTCAAAGAGACTTGATTGTAATTTAGTAAATATAGTGTTCGATATTGGTAGTAAAAAATATAGAGGCATGATAAATGAGCTGTCCATTTTAATATATATATATATATATATATATATATATATATATATATATATATATATATATATATATTAGTGGCAAATATACACATACATATGTAAAATATATAAATATATATACATAGGTGCATACACATACATGTATATTTTTTGAATAAAAATTCCAACAGGATAGAATCCAGGTAGAACTCAATATCCAGAACAGAGTAAGGATATAATAAAAGTCTTAAACACTAATATTCCATAACCATGGAATATTAGTGTTTAAGCCTTTTATTATATATATATATATATATATATATATATATATATATATATATATATATATATATATATATATATATATTTGTGTGTGTGTGTGTTAGTACCTCTAACAATTCACTGAAAAAAGCATAGCAGGATAAAAAAAAGGCCCAAAAGTTAATATAAACAAAGTTTTATCGTCAAAATGTTTATGTTATTATTAAAAAGAAAGCCCAAAGTATTTTTTATTATTTTATTAAATTTTTAATCCTTTCTAGCACCTTCGAAATTTTGGCTAAAAATATTGCATTTCTTGCGCCAGCAAAAGATTAGTATAGCAAATTTTAGCGTCTTTTTTGCGGTAAAAACACACTGAGTTGTGAATACGTTCAAAAATCAAATAATTGTCGGATTTTAATAAGACTTTAATGAAACTTTCTTTTTTAACATAAGTGATTTAGGTTGGGTAAGAATGCCACTTTAAGTATAATGGGGAATTATTTTAGATTGGAAAAACAAATTTCTGAATTTCGTTGAAAGATGAAGCTGGAGACGTACTTTCAAGGAGGGGTGGAGAAGTATAAGAATGAATAAAATCACAAGTGAGTTCCATGGGATTTTAACTAAGCTTTTTAATTAATTCATCTTAGTAACTAGTCAGCAAACGAAAAATTTAAAGATGTGTACGATCACCAACATCTTACATTTCAGTTGCATGCCATTCACGCGGGCTATGTTTCATTTGTGTTGTCGCCTTAATTACCAATACATCCGTTTTTCTTAGGACAAATGACGTTTGTACAGTCTTGTATTTTTTATATTTTTATATTTCGCAGCAATTTTTAAACATAACTTGAAGAAAACAAAATACTGTCGAAACGTTGTTAAACACTGTTTCTTTTCTTAAATTGAGTTCTTCTCTAAGTGTTATTATTATCAGTAATAATGTTGATAATAATAATAATAAAGATCCACTTATGACTGCTCTTGTGACGATCGCCCTGATATCACACTTGTACACAAGAGCAGCCATCAGCGTATCCTAACAGATACCTTGGGATAAGAATATCTTGAAGATGGCACATGCGAAAGATCAGTGCCACAAAGACTTGGCAGGGCAAATTGGGAAAATGTACCAGGCAGCTGCTCAAGTAGTTCCCTTTGTGGTTGGTACACTCTGGACTATTTCCAGAAAGTCGCCTTGGGAACACCTGGCATCACTGAGAGTGTGAAGGTGGCACCATTGCTTATGCACTGAGGAAAGTGTGGTGTCTCTAAGCTGCGGGTAGGAGCTGCCATATAGCCATCATCACCAGACCGAAACATCTAAGAATTAGTGAGGATATCAGCTGCTTTTTTCTTTTCTTTTTTTTTAAATCAATTCACACCAAGCAAGGCGATAATGCCACCCAGACGCAAGGGGCTACCAGGATTGAAAGAGAATGAAATGACTTTAGCAGGAACCAAAAATCCTATCTTAAACAGGAAATAAAAGATAAATCTCTACTCCTGTTCAATAATAATAACAACTAAAAAGACCCTTGAAAATTTCACAGTTTTCCTATTTAAAGCTTCTGGTGATTCTTAAGTTAATGACTGAGTAAGCTCATGGCTAGTTCTACGATAAGAGAATATCGGTAGAAATTCACCTATCGTATCGATAAATATTTGAGATGAACAACTTTAGCAAAATATTGCAACAGCAACCATAAATATGAATGCTGGTCATTATTTTAAGAAGTGGTTACAAACGAAAACATTCTAAATTGACAACTTTATCCATTTAACTGAAACAGCCGTTAAACAATGTCTTCCCCTATTTCTTTCCATTTCTCTCTGAACTCGAGTCGTGTCTTTTCCATTCTTTCCACAATCAAAACGGAATATTTCATTATTTCTGAGGTATTGGCTGGAGACGTTAAACACTTTTATCTTCCCTTATTTCTTTCTTTCTGTCTGGCCAAATCCACGTCTTCCAACTTTTGTCTTAACAAATTAAAAATAATTCAGTAGACGATTTTATTTTATTTCATTTATTGTAATTGGATTTTGGGCGATTGCCTTACTCGGCTTCCGTCGTTCGATGCAGGGCGTCTAAAAAAATGATGCTTTTATCGGTCGACATCGCCTCTCGGCTTTTTGGCTGAGATCAAAGTTGAGTATCTGTTTTTATAAGCTTAATCTGATTCTCACTCTCTCCCCCACTTCTATCTTCCCCTTGTTTCTTTCTTTCATTTTGTCACTGAAACCAAGTAATATCTTTTCCCCTGTTCCAACGCGGTCAAAGCGCGCAATAGCCTATTATTTATGAGGTATTGACGGGAGTAACGAAGGGAGGCACAATAATAATAATAATAATAATAATAATAATAATAATAATAATAATTGTACTTTTATTTAGGATCAAATTTACTAGAAAGAAGTGATGTTGCGGGAGGACATTCCTAAATATCTACGGTCGACTTATATACGAGAGCGACTAATACGTAAACGAGTAGAAAGTAAAACAGTACTTTTTCAACAATTTTAAGTACTTTTTAAGTGGAAATCAAAAAGCAAGAAAATCTTGATGAAAATGGCTAAGTCATAAAATTGAAGGCAAACATCAAAGGGAAAAGACGAGCAAAATGGTTTCAAAAGTGAAAAAGAAAAAAAAAATGAATGAATTAAAGGAGGCAAAGCTTGTTCGTTGTCTGAAAAGGAAGGAAGGAAAAAAGGGAGGGAGGGAGGAAGGAAGGAAGGAAGGAAGGAAGGAAGGAAAGTGATTAGAGGCTTTGAGAAAGTGTCATATTTCGAACTTTTTACATGAAAATGCTTTTAGTAAACGCGGGGAATTTTCTCAGGAAATATTTTTTGTGCGTGTGTTATTAGGTTCCTAGTAGCTCTTTGACCTTAAACTAGAATCCACAAGTTCTCACGCATTTAGGCATATATATATATATATATATATATATATATATATATATATATATATATATATATATATGTATGTATGTAAAGAGAGTGAGAGTGTGTATGAAAACGGAAATCTTGAAATAATAATCATAAATACCTTGGAAAAATAAGAATTGGAAAATAAGGCATTTCTGTGTATGTGTATTATTCAAGTAAAGAGAGATTTGATTGAACCATGTAGAGAAAAATTAATCAACTCAGATAGATAGATAGATAGATAGATAGATAGATAGATAGATAGATAGATAGATAGATAGATAGATAGATATGAACAGGTTGAAATAGATAGATAGATATGAACAGGTTGAAATAGATAGATAGATAGATAGATAGATAGATAGATAGATAGATAGATAGATAGATAGATATGAACAGGTTGAAATAGATAGATAGATAGATAGATAGATAGGGAGAGAGAGAGAGAGAGAGAGAGATTCGTCAGAGAGTTAGAAGCTAAATAAAATATTACATACATCTATGATAACCATAGTGACAGATTTAGAGAGACTGGGGTCCATCAATCTAATTTCTTATAGTTTCTTACTGGCCCATATGAACATGAATTCAGGACAAAAACTCGACAGACAAAAAAATAATGAAATCTTCACATAAAGTCGGGTCTTATGGTATACTGGGACTTCCAAACTATGAAATATATCAAATATGTGACCGTAGCATTGTTAGGAAACGATTTTCACGGCATAATCTATCTCCGTGTATACAATATCCGTGGTTTGTTTACGTTTTGGAGCAAACTTAAGAAAACACCCTTCTAAAAGCTTTCTTCACATAAAGTCGGGTTTTTATGGGGTACTAGGATTCTCTAAATATGAAATATATCGAATATGTGACCCAAGCATTGTAAGAAAACTTGTTTTTAGCGGTTGGCTTCATTTACACAATGAATGTCTATATAGCAAACAGACCACACACCTAAATACCTAAGTATCCGACAGAAATAAATCTTGTACACAATAATATAAGAGTGTATATTGGATATTGTTATTAATGTCTCCATTTTGACATTAAAATTCGAATGAAAATTTCCTTGAATTTTCAATTTATTTATGAGCTGGGATTTTGCCGATTTTTGGGCTCAAGAGGCTGGAATTTTGTCCGCTGGGTTTTGTGGACAGAAAACTCTAATTGTTGTCACTACCTGGATAGATAACAGACTTATATGTAAATAGTTTTCAGAAGTTCTCATCCATTCCCATCTATGTCAAAGTTATTGATATGTTAGTAATGATAAAATTTTGTCAATATATCTGGCAACACTACAAAGGACAGGAAATTCTGGAGAGCCATGATCGTCAAGGTCCTGAAGGGACACGGCAAATAGAAGATGTAACAACGGTGGATTCATGACTTTCCCAAGAGCATGATTGCAAAGTGAATACAAGTAATTTGAACTCTGCTCGCTGTTTTTACTATTATCACCGTCATTGCACCACCACACGCCTCCCTACACCCATCCCTCGTCCAGTCATACATACAAAAGGTGAGTTAGAAACATAAACAAACTAGACACATGTATGTGTGTGTATACGTGCATGCATAGAAAGGTATGTTTATACCCGAATATGTATGTATTTATATACAGATATATCAGGGTACTTTTTGTAGCTGAGTGTCAGACAAACCCAAGCTTAATATATACCCCTATCTATCTATCTATCTATCTATCTATCTATCTATCTATCTATCTATCTATCTATCTATCTATAACAAGACGATATAAATAAATATGTTAGATTTATTGTTTACTGTATAAGACCAATGTTCTAAATGGATATACTTACCTACTCGGACGATCTTTCTCAAAAAAAAAAAATTGTAGGAAACCACCTCCGTATTCCATCAGTGAGAAGTAAGTTCCACTTGAACATCTTCCCGTTACCCACTGCTCTATGGAACCAACTCCCAAGAGGATGTTTCCCCGATCACTACAATCTTAACATGTTCCAGTCTGGAGTCTACTATTATCTTCCCCTTCTATCTATATAAACTACCCCTTAACGTAACTCTCTATATCGAATGACCCGTGGGCCTTATATAGGATGAAACTTACTGTAAAAAAAAAAACAAAAAAAAAACACAAAACGTCTTACATAGGATATAGCACAATTATCGTTTCACGTAGACTTACTTGCTATCTATCGGACAATAGTGCCATAAGACAACCCATTGAGCAGTATGAAGATAATAGTAACATCTGACAGCTACTTACAATCAATACTAACAAACCAGTAAAATCAAACAATGAAAATAGACTTATGATTCATAAAGCAATATTTCTAAAACACAACCAATCATCAATAAAGTAAAACCATTTATGACAAGAGTCAACATCCTTTAAAGTATCTATATATAAAAAACAGAGGATGTCTGTATGTCTGTCTGTCTGTGTGATACCTTTTCACTCGAGATCCATTCAACCGATTTTGACCTAACTTGGCACATACATTGTACCATGTAAGAGATAGGTTCTTAGCGTAAAAACTTGATAAATTTTAAAAAATCAATAAACAATAAAGCCAATCAAATATCGATAAATTCAACTTTTTTCCTCTGTTTTCGTTCAAACTCGGTATGTAGGTTATTTACATCGTAATGAGATCAACGATACCTCATTTTATTTCTACGCCACTGCGTTTAGCGAAAAACCACGGAAAACGCAAAATCGATTTCAACACAAGTTGATTTCAACACAAATTTTAAACTAAAAACTCCCTCAATTTTCAAGCAATCTAATGCAAGCTTTACTCAGTTGTAGGCAACAATAAGGTGATTGTTTAACAGTCGTTTAAACTGATAATTGAGTCCACCCATATAGTGAAATCCTGCGCAAATAGCGAAAAATGGCGACTTTTACTGGCTTCTTTATTTTTCGTTGATCTTTCAACCAACTTTCATCGAACTTAACAATTGCTTTTACATCCCTGGTAGCACACTGACAAATTGAATTTCAAAAACTCCAAAATAACTGTGGTCTTAAGTGGGACTTCATGTTGCCTGTTTTACCCCTTCATGTCCTTGGCTAACTTTGATTGAATAAATACAGACTACTTCTGTTATACCAACAATTGCATTAGTTCAAAATGCTTTTTAATGAAAGTACCTTAAATTAATTGAAGAAGATGTTACATCTAAATATGATGCTGTTTTTGCTCCATTTTAATTGAACGCTTTTTCTGCTCGACCAGCTGGGTATGGCTGCTAGTATAAAATAAAACACATCGCACCTTGTTGACGTCTCAACAATCACTGGTTTTAGGACTTAATATTCAATTATGCGCTCCATGCACTTTTTTCATGTGATTTCTAACGTTATCCACTAACATGTTATTTTTGAAAAAATTTCCTCGTGACACGATTTATAAAATTTTATTAAACTCATAAATTTGTCTCTATTTATCCTGACGATGACTTAAGAAAGTCGAAAGTTCGGAGCATATTACTTTTAATTTTCCTTCCGAAATGAACTTTGGACAATTCTTGACTGAATTTCCTCCTTGTTTGAAAAGGATTATTCGTAATTTTGGAAAGACGATCATTAAAATTAGTGGACATAAAATTTATGTCGTTTAATACTATTTATTAATAGTATTTGCGTTAATCCGGTAATAAGGCCTCTGATCGGGAGGTTTTCGGGAGCGTGGAATCACCTCTTAAGTGCTGTTGCTCCCAGGGTGGTAGCACCTGTTAGGACCCAGCAAATAGCTAACCCTCGTACTGGGGTCAAAACATCATATTGTTTTTACCTCAGTATGAGGGTTAAAATAAATAGTATACCCTAGTATATAAATAGATTTTTATAGTAAAGATATTATTAGTAATACATTTTTGAAAAAAAGCATATATTACCAGCAATACATTTTTGTAAAAGAAATTATTTTAGGCTCCCCAAAAATTAAATTTCGTCATTAAATGACCCATAAGGAGTTGATATGCCGCTAAATAAATACATAAAATCAATCTCTCTCTCTCTCTCTCTCTCTCTCTCTCTTTCTCTCTCCTTGTGTGTGTCATTAGAGAAGAGAGAGATATTCATGAAGATTTTTGACCATATTAACCTCTTCATGTAAATCTCTCTCTAAGTATATAGACCTGCTTTCCGTGTCCGTATCTAAAGAGAGTAAGAGGAACAAGTGGGAGTCAGGGTAAACGAACGAGACAGGAAACACATAACGAAGCCAACACACCACATCACACCACCACTACCAAACACACACACACACACACACACACACATATATATATATATATATATATATATATATATATATAAGCAGTGTCAGAAAACGATGAATCATCAAAGTTAGCCATGTCGCAGATCCAGTATCAATCTCTTTTTCTCTTGAGAAAGTTCCCTTCTTCGTCAAACTGGGAAAGAGTGCGATGGTGTTGCGTTGCAAGCGTACAGACGGAACATGATGGGCGCACGTGGGATAGCGAGGGGCACAGGTGTGCCAAGCCCATACCATTTCTAGTCGGATGGGTAGGCAGCGCTGAAGACCAGAACACAGCCAACAAACAATCGACAAACCACCGATGCTTCGCACTTTATGTAGTTAGTCATTTACTTAAATAGATAAATACGAGCAGAGATAGATAGATAGATAGATAGATAGATAGATAGATAGATAGATAGATAATAAACGAATAAGCTATATATAGACATTCAAAATGTCTATATAGAGAGATATAGGGTAGTGTGCAACAGTGACTAAGGAAGGAAAGGTTATACATACATATATATATATATTTCATCTTCATCTTTCATCGAGGCACGCTAGAGTAGCGTAGAGGCTCGATTTGAGGAATCGGAGAGCCGAGTTCGACTTACGTGCTAATACCCTTGGGAAAGGTATAAATCCTCTTCTTCTCCCCTTAGCCATGGGTAAATAGCCGGACAGATTGTGTTCTATAGCCTTGGATGGCAAATGGTCTAGGACAACTTCGTATTCAAAACCTGCGGAGGGTTGCTTGGGAACCTTGTGGCACATAGTGCACCAGGTCTCTGTATTCGGCCCAAGATCCACAACCTTCATCAGAATTTTGAATTCAAATTGTCTTTCCGCTATTGAACCCATTCTTTTCAACTGTTTAACCCATAGCTGGGTGGAACAGAGGTGGATTCTTGCCTTTCCCAGGGCTATTTACACGTAAGTGAATGTAACAAACTGGATTTCGCAGACAGTACTGTTTACATATATATATATATATATATATATATATATATATATATATATATATATATATATATATATATATATGTTACATCAAATAATATAGACATATTGTGTCTACTTATTTCCCATTGATCCTTTCCAGTTGCCAAATCAGTTTCTTGATGTTAAAATGAAATTCATCAAGGGAGGGACCATAATTTGTTTTTCTTTTCATTTAACCCAAGTAATTTTTACTTTTTCTAAGATCATCTTCAGGTGTAAATTACATCAAACACTGTTT